AGGTATAGTAATAGTAGGGGGAGGAGGGGGAGAAATTGCAAATTATTAGATTTTTAGTATTATTTACTATAATATTAGAAAAGTATTAGATTATACTATAAATTGGTAAAATTGAGTACGGATAGAATTATTTACTATATTACTGAAAATATTAGATTATTTTAATAATTAATAAAATTAAATATATATATAATAATCTAATTAATTATTAAATCAACCCCCCTATTTTTTACTTCTACCGGTTAATATACTCCTCTTTTATTTTCTTATTTAATTTCAACTACGTATTAGCAAAGAGAGAGTGATTTACAAAATAATTAATATAATTTATTATCTCCTCCTCCTTTAATTTATTAAACTTATATTAAAGATTCTCAATTGTGAGGGTAATATTGTTAGATTTAATTATTTTAGGGGATTGTAATAATATTACCGCTTTTTCTATTAATAAATTAAGAAATTCGACTGTACTTTCTCCCCTCCTTTTATTACTATTAGTAATATTATTATTATTAGTCTTATATACGCTAACTATTTATATAGTTCGCCCTATGGGCATACAGTACTGCTTTGTTCGTAATCGGTAGGAAAAACCGTACTGTAATAGCCGGATAAAAACCCTCCGTTTCACTATTGCTACAGCGCCGTATCGGTTCCGTACCGTCCTATTTTCCTTCCTTTCAATATAACTTTACCGTTATAACCGAAGCTATAAATTTTTATTATATATATAACCGACCTTACCCCGATCAATTATTACCCTCCTTCCGTCTTTCTACCGTTATTTCCTTATAGTCGGTAGCCTTTTATCTTATTTTTCTTCAATTATATTATTTTAAGTCGTTTAATTTATTTATAAAGGAAACTTCAACCCGGCTTTCTCTTTCCTTCCCTCTTTCCTTCTTTATACTATACTATTACTTCTATTATATTATATCCGTATTTTAATTAAATCCGCCGCTATCCTACATTTATATTTAATTCGACCCGGTATTACTATTATTATATTATATTATATAAGAAACTTCCTAGTACTATAAAAAAGATGTTTGTTTCAAAGGCATTGGAGGTTACGGCCCCTTTTAATAAATCGGAGGGTAAAATCGTAATAGAGGTTATAGTAATTAATATCGGCCCCGTTAATTCGCTTTATAATAACATTCCAATTAAACTTATTACCTTTAAGAAGGTTAAAAAATATTTATTGAAGGAGATATAGGAGAAGAAGAGCATTCCTATAGGATATTTCTAACCTCCCGAATTTTATAAATAGTATAATTCCTATACATGTAATTTATAATATATTTTTCCTATAATTTATAATAATTTAACTAACTTCCAATTCACTTTTGATTAGGCCTAATACTTTTAAAATCCTTATAAATCTCCGTTTTATTCCTATAGTATTTCTATATTTAATTTTTAAAATAATTCGTCTTAATACTCCCTATCATAAATATTAATTATAAAAGAGGATTAAAGAATATTTAAATACCGAATTTATTCTTTTAGTATATACCTTTATTAGGTTCGTTATAATATTATATAATTATAATACAGCTTAGGGCGATTTTAAGGTTTTTATTGGTAGGGTGTAGGTTGCGGCTATTATATAAGTTACGGCGGACTATATTAGCGCTAATCTTTCGTCCGTTAGCAATTATCCGGCCTTAAATTTTATTATAGTAGTCGAATTTCTATTAAAGAAAAGGAAATTTATTTACATTCTTATTAATACTTTTATAGATTTTACTCTACTTTATAATAATATTACTATAATCCGTTTCTATATTATAAAAGTTAAAGAAATTATTTATATTCTTTTCGATAAAGTTAATTTGATTATTATTAATATTAAGTATATCGGTAAGGGTATAATAATAATCCGTACTAGGTAGAATAATTTTAATAATCATTTTTTTATTATAAATATTCTATTATATCTCTATATCGGCCTTATTACTAATTCTCTTTATAAAGTTTTTTAATATTAAATAAATTATCTATAATATTTATAATTATATTTTAAATATAAATTTAATCGACGATATTACTTCCATCCGGCCTTACTATAATATAAAGATAGTATTTAATAATATTCTTCCCAAGGCCGATAAAGGAAATTTTAGTATAGAAAATAAATTTTTTAGTAAGGAGGGTAAAATTAATAATAATATTAATATAGTATTAATCGTCGGTAATACAGAATAATTAGTACTCTATTATCCTTCTAGTTTAAATATAGTTTAATTTTCTTTTAAGATTATTATTTATATATTTAATATATATTTAGTTGGTTTCTTATCGGTTCCGATATAGTCCTGTTCCGGTTAGGTAATTCTTAATTTTAGTTAGGTCTTTTATATATATAATTAAACTATTTTAATTTATATTTCCTAACGTTTCTTCTATTTTCCTTACTTTTTCAATTCTAATTATTAATTCATATTTTTATAGCCTCCCTAATTATAGGGCCTATCGTAGAATCCGTTTAGCGTTCGTTTTAAATTCGTTATAGAATTCTTTCTTATTCATTAATTATATAAAAATATTCTCGTTTTATAATTAAATCTATTCTATTTCCCAGTACTCTAATATAAAATATTCGAATATCTCCTTCCTTACACTATACTAATAATATAGTATTATTATTTTTAGAATTTTTCTTTCGAAAAGAAATATCCGTAGGCTTATTTTCCCAATTCTTACTTATACTAATAAAGAATTTATAGCCTTTAATAAATAATATAGCGCGGGATTCTCGTCCGTACTAGGCTATATATAATACTATAGTATAATTTTGTTAAATTGTACGTGCGTTTTTGCGGCGTTTAGGCGCTTCCTCTTCCTTATTATTTTAATAACTTTTATATACTATTTTACTACCTATTCTCTTTTTATCGCCTCTTCTAATTATTTCTCCCTCTCCCTTAGCGTAGGCTCTCTTACCTCTCTTTATAATATTAGTATATCTTCAACTAGGGTTTATTATACGGCCTATTCGGCCTTTACTTTACTATTAATTAGTATTAAGTATAATAATTATTATATTCTTTAGCTCCGGATTTCGGCCGCTACTTATACTAGTATGCCTTGTACGAAGGCTACTATTAGGGAGCGTGTTAGGCGTTCTTCGAATACCTGGATTCTTTTATTAAGGTAAAGGTTGAGGGGGGGGTAGAAGGTTTCCGTTTCGAGGCTAAAGGTTAACGCCGCCTTATACGCACCGGACACTACCTGTAGGCAATTATTCTAGGTTGCGGCTAAATTGCGTGCTAGTCCGCGTGGTTTTCCTATCGGTTCCATTAGAATATAGTAGGCTAATGCGCTATAGGCCACCGCTACTCGGATTGCTTTAATATAGACTTCTCGTGCGCGTACGAGGTTATATCCCCACGTCTTCGCTACGATCCGTATTAGGGCGAATACTTGCATTGACATTTTCTTCTTCATACTAGTAATATTAAAAGTTATATTAATAAAGGGAATTTCGCTATTTAATAGTAGGGTTAAAGTAGGATTTATATTCCTTTTATATCGTTGCGCCTTAATAAATTTCTTTGCAGGCGGGGTAACCTCTTTAATTTTATTATTATTTTTATTATTATTGTTGGATAAGATTATATTATTCCTATTACTACTATTATTATTATCAAAATTAATGCTATCGTTAAATAGTTCGCTTACTTACGAATCCCCCGGTTCGGCGATATTATTTCTAGAAGCTTTAATACGAAAGAATACTTCAGAATATATATTCGTATCGCTAAGTAGTTACTTTATTAATTAATTAACCGTATAATTCTTAGTATTCTTCCGCTTACGAAATGCCTTTTAGTTTTATATAAATATTTTAGGTAATTTAGTAATAGGGTTTAATGAAGCGTTAGATATAGAGAGAGCTTCCTTCTAATTATAATACCGCTATTATTTAATATCGAATTTAATTTCAATATATTTTATAATTTAAATATATTCGCCCTAAACTTCGTTATACTTATTTCTTACCTCCTCCTATATTTTGGTGAAGTCCTTTTATTAAATAGAGTTAAATATTTTCCTCTTTTTATAATTAAGGAATTATATTATTATAGTGGCGGTTATAGAAGTAGTTTAATTAATATGCTTTTTCTTTTTAAGAATTAGCGGTTTAAATTAGCGCTTCCTCTTCTAGGGACGTAGTAGGAGTAGTATACTATTTTGTACTATACTTTAAGGTAGTTAGGCATTATTTAAGGACGCTGTTATAATATCGTAATAGATTTTAAACGGTTGATTTTTATTTAGTTAATTATCGTTAATCTAATTATAATCCGCCGGGTAGAGAAGTTGGCTCTTATCGAGAGTTAGGAAATTAGGTAGGTTATTATTATTACTAGGCATTTTAAGAATATTATTGAAAAATTATAAAAGCGGGTTATTAAGACCGCTATTTTACTCCCCGCTCTTAATATTTAGTAGATTCGACAATAGTAAAACATTTGAATTATTTTAAAGGGTAGAATATAGGTTTTGGGCGCTTATTTTTTCGGATTGGGACGTATTTTGGCTAGTATTTTGTATATAAGTCGGAATGCAGTTAGGTTTTAGACTTTGGCGGGGTCTAACTTTGCTTTTTAGGCGATATTTATAGGGCGGTGAGAAAGGTCTTGGCCAACTACGCTATAAACGGTTAAGTCCAGCTATTACTATACTAATATAGCGTTAAAGCGGTATAGTCATATTACTCCACCCATTTTACTTAGCCGTAAATAAGAGGGAGTAACGAAATATTTAAACTTTTATTATAAAAAGTTCGAGCCGATCTGGGCCTTATGTACAAGTCGGAGAGATGGTAAAGCGGTTATGAAGGCCCCCAAGCTTATACCAGCGTGGTTAAGCCAAGCCTTACACAACCGCACATGACTGTACGTAAGTACCTAAATACGTACACTACATAAAGTACTCCTGTTCTGGCTTTCCACATGCCACCGATGTCATGTAAGGTGATGTATTTATAGGTAGATGTATCTTTGGTGTTGTCCAATGTATTGACGCTTGCGGTTGGTGTAGTAAGGGACGTAACCTACACAGTAAGGTACCAGACAGACAAAACGGTAAGGATTGGAGTGTGGATGACGTCCCAGCCGATCGTCTTGGTCGTCTGATTCGTCAAGATAGCTCCGTTTTGGCACGGGACTTTCTCCGCAGCGCGTACAACTTGAAATAGCGAGATACTATAGTACTTGCCTGACATGGAAGACAAGATGTCCTCCTCGCCTGGGAGGTTTCAAACTTTGCGTCCACTTCAGCACTAGCAAAAGGTAGGGGTCTGAACTTTATGTCCACCGGCGCCGCATCGAGGTTCCATTCTTACCTCAACCCAGCCCCGGTTCTTCCACCTCGCGAGTCTCAAGTTTCCACGGCAGCGATCCTACCGTCTCTGGCGTACTGGCGAGACTGTGTACTGGCGTACCTCTACCAAGCGAACAAGGTTTGCTAGGCTCACCAAGGCAATTGATGTTGCCGCTCTCGCTGGCTACCGCAAGTTTTTCGCCTGCTTCCAGGAACTTGATCAATCATACCGTAGCTTGCCAGTCCTGACAGTCATATGTACTCCCCAGTCCCGTCCGCACCAGCTTCTGTCACCTCCAATCCACCGAGGGGGGGCACGCAACTCGCAAAACTGGGTACATACCAGACAACACAAGTCCAAGGCGCCAAAAAGCACTCGCCCCTAATAATCGTCCCCCAATTCCCAAACATCGACTGGGTCCACGGAAGAACGCACCTCCATCATTTTTTTATTTTTTTTTCCCACCAGCACCGTGTCCATCCGCCGGTCAAGGTCCCTTGTCCCTGATCCTCTGCCTTAAGACGGTACCCTGAACTCGACCACAGTCTCGACCTTTTTCGACTCGTTCAACCCTCTGGACCTTCTCTGAGACGTCAAGCCCCGAATCCTCCAGCGACACCGGACACAACCTGAGATGGACCGTACGCCCATCGCCTGTCTGGTCATTATCTCGCGCTGAGCTTAAACAACCCTCCCCCATATCGCATCTCCAGCACGCCTGGCTTGGCCGTCTGCCATAGCTCTTTCGACTACTGTACCGCCTTCTGTTTCATCCGCTGCGTGAACCGTTTGAGTTCCCCGCCGCCTGGGTGCATTACGTCGCGAAGCAGCCGCGGTTCGACCACCTGAGCGCTCGACCCAGAGCATGCTACGTGACTTTGGGAAAAGTGGAAACAACTGTCGGCTCGGACCAGGAGACCGCATCACGTCGTGTGGAGATGAGAAGAGGAGCAGAGCGTGACCAGTCCATCAAACTGTGCTCTTGCTTGGGAGAAACTCGTGCCTACTAAATTGGACTGTTCTTGATTCTCGGTCGCAGTCCTTATCGGCCGCTGTTATCGGCTCGGACTGCTTGGGCATTCGCTTGTCTAGACCTCGCGTCCCGACCCACGCTGAACCACCACAATCATGCCGCCTCCCGAGGGTGACTCGGCCTCTGTGCAGGCTGGTAACAACTCCAGCGACTTTGTGAGCTCCTCTTCCAAAGCTTCCCCTTTCCACTCTCCTCTCTCTCTCCGCCTGCCAGCGACCACTAGTTTTAAGATGGGTGCTAACCCGTACTTTGTCTCACCTAGGTGCGCAAGCTATATAAGTACGAAGCTTAAATCCCCCGAAGCCATCTTCAGGCGCCAAGTCCACGCCTGTAAATTGCGAAAAGTGCGTTCTGACCAGCTTGTAGGATGCTCGAAGACCCCACGTACAATTCCGTAGTACGATGGAGCGCCGATGGTGACAGTTTCGTTGTTCTAGAGGTATGCGCTGAACGGCATTCCATTTGGGGAAGACGCTCCCCCCTGCTCTTGCTGACATGCTCATCAACAGAATGAAAAATTCACCAAAACCATCTTACCCAAACACTTCAAGCACAGCAATTTCGCAAGCTTCGTACGGCAGTTGAACAAATACGATTTTCACAAAGTGAGGCACAATGAAGAAAGTGGCGAAGCGCCATACGGAAGAGATGTGGGTGGTCCAAGTCATCGGTCCTGCAAAGGGGATTCCTTCAGCTGACCGTATCCAGGCATGGGAATTTCGACATCCCGAGTTTCGTGCAGATAGGAAAGATAACCTAGATAATATCCGCAGAAAAGCGCCTGCCCCGCGTAAGCCAGCGCAAGCTGAGGATACCTTTGGCGCGTCGCAGCAGATTGTCGTCCTAAGCGAATCGCTTACTGCGACCCAACACCAGATCCAGGCGTTGCAAGAACAGTATTTCGAGCTGGCGCAGACGAACAAAGTGCTCGTCAACGAGGTCATTAGCTTGCAGAAGATGGTCAGGGCCCAGAGTCAAGTCTCCAACGAGTTGATCACCCACCTCAGCAACATCGAGGACCGTCGACGGAATAGCAGACACTCGGCGCATTCTAGCCACTCAAGTCATTCAGGTCCGACCTTCCACGCAGGATCCCTTGGGCTACTACCAGACGGTGCTGATGAGCCGGCAGCCGAACTTAGACGAGCGCGCGAGATACTCAATGGCGTTTCCCCCGACTCCCAGGCCGACCGGGAACTCGAACGGTTATCGGTCGCCTATCATCAAAATGGGTCTCCATCGGAATCGGCGACCTCGTCAGTCATGTTCACCCAGAGCGGCCCTGGCCCCATGCACATGTTGCATGACCCCCTCAACGACCCAAGACACATGGTCTATCCGGTAGGGCAGACAACAGGCATCGACCCATTCCATTCCGACCACATCAACAACATCCCTTATACTCGTCCCTTGAGTAATCCGAATGCAATGGCAGACTCTGCCCAGATCACGCCTCCCCCAAAAGATCAAGGCACCTCCATGTGGAGCCACAAGCGGCCACGTATCCTACTCGTCGAGGATGACAAGACATGCGCAAGGATCGGTGCCAAATTCCTACATGTACTCGAATGCTCGGTAGATATTGCTGTAAGTTCTAGGTGTCTCGCCTTGGGAATTCGAATTACCCGAAGGCAGCCGTCGCTAACACTGTAGCAGAAGGACGGGCTGGAAGCTGTGGAAAAGATCAACAATCCGGAGAATAACGAGGGCTTCGACCTCATTTTCATGGACATTATTATGCCCAACATGGATGGCGTATCGGCGACGGCGATGATCAGGATGGTGACGGCAAGAGTACCCATCATTGCCATGACGTCGAATATTCGACAAGAAGATATCCAGACCTACTTTCAGTATGGTAAGTTGAGCCCATCCCAGTTCACCCCACCTGCTTCTTTCGATGTTCTGACGTTCCTTCCTCCAAGGTATGAATGATGTGTTAGCAAAACCCTTTACGAAAGACAGCATGATCCGCGTTTTGAGGAAGCATCTGGCATATATGCTCAAAGACCCGCTCCAAGGCGGCCTTAACGCGGATGACACAGGACAGACTGTCGGTGCCCCAGGACCGCCGGGCCAGAACCAACAAGCTTACAGCAACAACCAACAAGCGCAGGCCAACATGATGGCGGCGGCGGCGGCGATGGCAAACTCTTCGATGGGCAGCAGCGCACAGGTCAAATTTGAACAGACGCCGATACCTTCGCCTGCCACCACGTCCTCATGGCATTCCCCAGGGCAGATGAACCAGACGTCCCCCAACATGGACGGTGGGGGGTACATGAATGCCGGAGGGAACGGGCCGGGAGGGATGGTTCTGACGCCGGGGGGCACACAAAGACCGCCGCCGCCACCCTATCAAATGATGAATAACCAGGTGAACAACCAACTAGCAGGCGGATCGGCGGGTTTCCAAGGCGGCGGCCATATACAGGCCTCTGAGGGCATGGGAATGGGTGGATCAGAAGAGACTCGGCCAGAAAAGCGCCAACGGTTATACGGGCCTGGCGCGAACCACCAGAGGCCGTTTGTGCAATAGAGAGTAACCGTCGACGGAGTGACGATTCTGATTGTAGATCGAAGAGGGGATAGCGAGCGACGAGATCGGTAAAAGCACGGAATGGAAGGAATTACGCATTCGGGGCGGCAGGGTCGGCTGGCGTCGATTTTTTTTTTTTTTCCCCCGTAGCTGATTGTTTCGATGTCGATCTCGTGCCGTTGCATGCTCGTCGACGAAGGCAAAGAGCTGCTCAATGCCCGACTAGGTGTTGCCGCAGAGTTGGCTAACCTCTACTGCAATTCGAAGCTTTAGAAACTCGTACCAAAGCCTGATTCGTGTGTGCCGGCTGATGTCAACTTTGTTCTTTTTTTTTTTCTCTTCTGTGGGGGGGGGGATGGATATTTGGCGGTGTGTAGCGTGATTGGTTAAGTAGAGAGGTAGCGTGGTTGGCTTCTCATTCCGCGCATGTAGTTAAGTCTGAAGTAGATGTCGTTGCATCCAGTCTGCAGTCCTTTTTCACCTACTAGACTTGAGCATTAACGGTGGGCGAGTGCTCTGTTCGAATTGTTGCTGTCGAACTAGCAGTTGGTCGTCAAATGAGCATATGTGGTAGTGACGCTTTCCAGGGTGAGCCAAGATTGTTGGCACAATGTTGATGAGAAAATGACTGTAGGGGGTCGTAGAAGCAACAAGCAGGTGGGTAAAGTTTAGGAAGATGGAAAGAAAATAAAAGGACGGAATTTGGTGTTGGATACATGAGCTCAGGAGCAGATTGAACTAAGTACAGTAAACAAACTGTCAGCTGTAAGTGAATGAGGATAACGGAGAGGGAAGGGGGGTGAAGGGTTCATAGGTCGAGGTAAGAAGGTGAGTATCGCGAGCCTGGGGTTTCGTATAAGATGTATCTGAAGGGAAAAGGAAAGAGGGAGGAGGCGGGTGAGAGGAGCACAGCTACCATTCGGTACAACCGCTCGTACTACAGCCCAGAATGGTTGGGTGGGTTCCAGACGAGCCTAGACCTGGCTAGGCGCCAGGATCGTCGGGTACTTGCTACATATTCACGCACCAACTGTGGTGCAGACAGGAGTAAGCATTGAAAGGGCCTGGTTCGAGAACATTTGGGGGAAGAATATCCCTTATAGCGAGGCACGGGTAGTGTATATGCATCTCGATCGGTCCCAGGAGACGGCTGGGATGAGTCAATGCTGCTGTTGCTCAGCCGGCTCCTGACCAACCGCGGGACCGAAAGAGGACTTGGATGTTTGTGAAAACCAAGTTCACGAAAGCGCGAAGGCCCGCTGGTTTCCCTGTCAGTATGCGAGTTAAGAGTCGGTATTAGGCTCGGTACTAGTGGAGGGCAATCGTGATCCTGGAACTTGCAGGATGGGGGAGTGGACCGAGGTTGATACCTCCAGTTGTAAATACCTCTTCGAGATAAGAATCTGGTGCCGGAGCGAATGAGCCCTGTTGAGTCCGTTACGAGGTCCGTTTGAAGGTAGAGAGAATTGTTTTGGCTGTTTGCCTGCTTGTAAGTCGTGACCCAAAGGATGATATTGGATATGTAGTCTTGGACACGGGTATGAAGGATGAAGAGTGGTGTTGTTTGCTCGTCTCCAAGGCAAATTGTAGCCTGATCCATCCTTCTTTCCCATCCGGGGTTCTTGACGGAGCATGAAAATTCATAGCCGCGGGAGGTAAGACAAGAAACAGGTGAGGAGACTGGGACGCTGGACGCTAATATGAAGTGAAGGCTAATCGGAGATACGGCGTGGCGGCGGATTTCCGGGCTGGTTCCAGTTGATAACACCGCGGACCAATATAATACATAAAGGAAACGAGGTGGAGGAGAAAGAAATAGCAATTTGGGGGTCGGGAAAGGGGCGTTAAACCGGGCCGGAGCCGCCTTCTCTGACGGCCTTGGGTGCCAGACTGTCGCGGAGGGCGGGACCAAGCTAGGCCAAAGACACTACCCGGCAATTTGAAACAGAGTGGCCTGGTGTTGGAGAACATTAAAAGTACCTTCGTTGTTAGGTACGCATGGCGTCGTGCTTCCGCCTGAGCCGCTTACTAGGATCCACCAAGAAACCTCAGATGCGGTATGCTGCATGTTCGATGGTGGTCTAGAACTCTTTAGTCCTATATAGTGCGGTCCGCCGTTATGTATCGTAGTGTAGTGTAGTTATGTACCTGGCGCCGTGACGCTCGCTTTACATATGTATGAATGGGAGGAGACGGTGTTGGATTCGATGTAAGGATCTGCAGATCGGACGAGATTTATTCCATTATCGTTCCGACCCTCGTTAGAACGCGAACTAGCACGTGGCGAGGCTGGTGAACTACCAACGGCCAGGTGTTTTCCCCATACAGTGATCCTCCCGAGGCGCGGTCCTGCGAAGCTTTGTCGGCACAACATAGGTGCAAGAATGTAATAGTAGGCTAATAGTTACATATGTAACCGAACGGCGAGTCGGCACCTTGGAAGACGGGTTTGGCGTGCCGCGGTTGGGTTTCGTCAAATCGAAATCGGCTAGCATCCGACAGGCCATCCTGGAGTTATCTAGTGTAGTGTCATATAGTGCTGTGTACACTACACTATGTAGTATACAGTAATGTGCCCTGTTAATGCTAAGCCCCCTTAATGCAAAAAGTCTCCCTTTTGCTAAAGATTTCGGCTGCCCGCATTCCCTCTAGTGGTGAAGACTGCTAACTGCTAATTGTAATATTGACGGGGGGGATTTGCATTAATAAGGATCTGATTTAGGTGGGTAGGACGAATAGCGGCGGTGCGAGAGGGTCGAAGTGACCCATCTTTAGGGTAGTCGACCCGTAATCTAGTAGCCCCACAGCATATATTAGTCTATGCACTAGTACTATCCTTTATAAAAGCCCCCCTTTTATAAAGAAATCTGGCTGCTAGTATTAGTTGCATTAATAGGGCACATTACTATACAATATAAGACTGGTATGTTTGTTAGTTTGGTTCTTCGGCTATAGGTTAAATAGGGGAGATATAGAACTCTTATTAGCTTCCTTAGAGTTTTCGTTTGGAGCGACTAACAATGACCAGGATATAATACGCTACAAAAGCTTCTGTTTATGCCTCCATCCGTCTCCTTGAAGGCCTTCAAGCTTGAAAAATATAAAAGAAAGAGTCCCCTTTCGGTGCCTATCTGTTTGAAAATCGAATACTTCCTTACTTTCCGGGGCTCTCAAGTGGAGATGGGCGTTTTTTTGTACCAAACTAACAAACATACCAGGGTTAGATTGTATATACCGGCTCCTGGCGCAAATCAACATTTGGCTCCACCGGGAGGGTGGGATCGCCGATCATCTCTCGGCACTCAGCTGAAATTGGAATCCGGATTATGGTTCGTCTGGACTAAGTTCATGTCCCAACTTAAGTCGCCATGATCTAGATAGCTAAGATCCATGGGCGAGGTGCGAGGGGGCTTGCTATCGCAACGTCTAGGTGAGCTGGATGTTCCAGTTCTTGCCCACGGAATCAGTTACGTCTGCTAGAATTCGCCGAAAACTGCCAGACTGCGTGCACGGCAAAAGCTCGGATCTTGAGTTCTACTATCTACACTACCTAGTACCTTCCCTTTCATACATGTTGCCGTTGTTGTGTAGCCAAGGGAGATGCTAGGCACTATCGTGTTGTAGTGTACACTACTAGCACACTAAGTACTGTTCAGTGCCGGTGCTATGATGTGCTTGATGCGTCCCGCTACTTCAGTTGTGATCGATGGGAGCCCAAATGCGGCTAGTGATTTCCAACGCCACAATTTTCCACTGATGAAAGTTACCACCTGTAAGGCTCGGTGCAGTTGGTACGCGGTACGGTAAACTAAGGCACCGACGGTACGTACAAGCCACAGGTGATAGCCCCGCGCCCCATCTCCAAGCATGCAGTACGGAAAACACAATGTGGAAGTTTGGACAGATTGGGGCCACTGCGTTGACTCATCATTGCAAGGTTTTGGTACCACACAGCGGCCGAGGCAGGCAGGCGCATTCTCAACCCCAGCTTTGAAGTTCAAACGCGCCGTTCTTGACATTGTGCAGCCCCACCTTTTTCCTTCTACCACAGTCTTCCCCGCGCTTTCCGATCCGCGGCCACTTACTCAACCAGGCCCTCGTCGACCTATTCCTGTAGAGTTCGAGCTGATAAATAGACTTCAGTTGGCAATGTCGGGCAAGCAGGTCAGCAAGGGCGGAGCTGCCAATAAGTCCAAAAAGCCCGCCAAGGGCGGCGCCGAGGAGAAGAGAGAAGATGCTCTCCAGGCCGTCATCCTCGCCGATTCTTTCCAAGACCGCTTTCAGCCTTTCGCGCTTGAAAAGCCCAGGGTAAATGCCTTCATGCTTCATGCTCAATGCTTCATGTCCCTTGTCCCTGGCGACCTCTGAGTACTGACGGCCTTCTCCTGACAGTGTCTCCTTCCTTTGGTCAACGTGCCCGTTATCGAATACACGCTCGAGTATCTAGCCTCCAACGGCGTCCAGGAGGTCTTCATCTACTGCGGCGCCCACTCCGAAGACGTCGAAACCTACATCCACGACTCCGACCGATGGAGCCCTGAAAGCAATCTCTGCCCCTTCTCTTCTGTCGACTTCATCCGCGTGTCCGACGCAAGCTCCATCGGTGACTTTTTGCGAGATCTTGACAAGCGCAGTATTATCTCGGGTGACTTCATTCTGATTCATGGCGATGTTGTCGCAAACATCCCCCTCGATGGTATCCTGGCCAGGCACCGCGCAAGGAGAGAGGCCAACAGAGACGCCTGCATGACCATCGTCTTGCGCTCAACAGGAGACAGCCCTCACCGGACTGCAAAGGCCCGGGGCATTACTCCTGTCTTTGTTGTCGACCCCACCAACGGCCGTTGTCTGCAATATGAAGAGATGCACCCACTTCAGAAGGACAAGTATGTCAAGTTGGACGAGTCGGTATTCGAGTATGCTGAGTTCGAATTACGCACCGATCTGATTGATTGTGGCATCGATATTTGCACACCGGATGTTTTGGCCTTGTGGTCCGAGAGCTTCGACTACGAGCTTCCCCGCAAGAACTTCCTTCACGGCGTACTGAAAGACTGGGAGCTCAACGGCAAGATCATCAGCGCCGAGATTCTTGAGGAAGGCTACGGGGCTCGCGCCAGCAACCTTCAGATGTATGATTGCATCAGCAAGGATATCCTCCACCGCTGGGCGCTACCGTATGTCCCCGATAGCAACCTTCTTCACGGACAAAGTTACAAGTACAAGCGGGGTCTGTGGTTAGAGGATGGCGCACACATCGCAAAAAACAGCGCAGTAACCAAATCAGTACTAGGGAAGACCGCCTATGTCGACACTGGTAGCACAATCTCGAGCAGTATCATCGGAAGGAGGTGCCAGATCGGAAAGAACGTGAGGATAGAGAACAGCTATATCTGGGATGACGCGGTGATCGAAGACGGTGCTACTGTTCTGCATTCCATTGTAGCCAACGATGCAGTCATTGGTAAGCACAGCTACATTCCTCAAGGCTCTCTCATCTCCTACGGTGTACGGATCAGCGCCGGAACACAACTCTCATCCAAACCCCTACCGAGAATATCCCTCTTTACCAGTGAAAGAGAGCCGGTCAAGACCGACATTAAACTGGTTGGAAACGATGGCAAGGGAGCCCAATATAAAGAGCCAGAAGACGACGAGGACAGTGACTCCGAGGATGAAGGCGATGCGGACCCCGCAGTTCTCCAAAGCTCTCTCATTTACTCTTTGGCTGGCCTCAACATTTCAAGAGAGTCCATCTCCACATTAGCGACCCATGACTCCGATGATGACCTCTCGGATGACGAGTACGAGCAAGGCTTCCAAGCCAAGGCCAACCGCGAACGCCTATCCTCCTTCGCGTCTGATGATTCCGCTGCCGCCGTCATGAAGCTCGACCAGTTCCATGGTGACGCTGTTCACGGACTTGTAGATGCCCTCCGTGCTGACGACAACGAGGACTTCGACTCTGCGAAGCTGGAGTTCATGGGTTTGAGACTGGCCAATAATGCTTCGGACAGCATGATGCGCAAGGCCATTGCCGTAGCCTTTGCCACTCGCGCCGCCGAGCTCATGAGTCCCGAAAACGGCGGTCTTGAGCCTACCAAGGCCGCTGGCCGGGCTCTTACGTCCAAGAAGGGTGCCGTCAAGTTCATTACAGAGGTTGGCGTCGGCGGAAACAAGGTCGATCTCCACGCTGAGTTTGCCCTCGCGTTGCAGAAAGCTTTGGCAGCCATTAAGGGGCTTGATTCTGCGCGCGCAGGAACGCTACTTGCCGCCATGCTGCAGCAGCTTTATAACTTGGACGTTCTCGAGGAGGAGGGTATTCTCGCCTGGTGGGCGGATGCCAGGGCTGCAGAGAATGATACACTCTCCAAGATCAAGGAGAGGAGTCGTGTGCTGGTCGAATGGCTGGAGAATGCAGATGAGGAGGATAGCAACGAAGATAGTGATGAAGAGGATGAGGATAGTGACTAGATGGGTTATCAATGGAAGTGCATGCCTAAGAGGGATGGGTTATTTGGAAGAAGGAAGCAAGGGTGGAAGAACGAAAAGGGGGAGGTGTAGATGAATTTATACCCGCAGCACCTGCGATCTCGGAATATTGCTTGTGTTCTCTTTTTGGGAAGGAAAGAATGGATGGACGGGAAAATGAAGCAAAATTTGACATCCGCATACTCCTCGCTCTCAACACATCTTCCTTTGTATGAGCACGAATGCCTGTGATGATTTTATGAACTACACTGAGCAGCCTTACTAAAATGATGGCCTGAGTGCTCTCAGCATACAGGTTGTATATGTGAGCGTCGTCAAGAATACTAGGTCGCAACAGTCAGAACCACCCATGCTCTTTGCTTTCCAACTTTGGTACTTGCTTCACACTCGACTTGCTATCTCACCATACGTACATCTTGGTCAAACATTAACAGTTTGGTGGTAATGTGTA